ATTCAAAAGTAATCATCAGCCGGCTGCAACAGACTGAAAAAACTCTTTGGTACTTTCAAAATGAGCTAAAAAAGGTTAGAAGACTATCAACAAATTTGCAAGTGGTCTTTCAATGGGTGCCAAGGCCGCTTTGCAGGTAGTAAAGCAAGGGGTAACCAGGGCACAATGTTTTTGGACTCAGTTGTAATAGTTTCATGTCTGGTTTCAGGGTTTGCTTGTCTTGTATTGCCTATATTTGTAATGGGTAGCCGAGGCAAGCTGTACCTTTTGCCCCTTTAATTAAATTACCTTTTGGTGTATATATATACTCAAAGCTATATACAATTAAATTACATTCCCACTACGCAACCGCGTCTGAGGAGAGTAGGTCCAAATTCCAAGGTTCAAATCCGATACGCCCCTATATTGGGTGTATCGGGGGTCTAACCGCTTCAGGGGTGGAGGAGCCTTAAACCGGCTCTCCTGAAGCGGTTTCAAAAAAAATAAAAATAAATAAATAAAACAGTATTGATTCACCCAATACGCCCTTACCAGCGTATCGGGCGTATCGATATTTTGAACCTTGTCAAATTCCTTATTTCATCGAAGGAATCCCTAAAACAACCTTCCTTTTTTTTGGTTAGAAAATCCTTAAAACAATTTGTTATTTAACTCTTCAAAACAATCAATTACCGAACTGTATCAAGATGTGGAATGGAAGCCACTTTTATTTGTAACATTTTAGGTTGGTCAATACAAAGTTTATGAGAATTTTTTTTTTTTCTACCACAAATGCTTTGAGTTATCAAATACAATATACTAAATATAGGGTACCATTGCTGTTTTCTGAAAAAACTCAAATTTGACGTTTCTATTATAAATGTCAATACCTAATCCAATGCCTATATTTTTTGAGTAGAATTGATTATTTGATATAATGTGACAAGATCAATCAATCAACTAAATCGTCTAAAAACATTGCCAGTTAATCTGTTTTATTGTAGTATATAATAGATGTGTACCAAGTATCATCCATTAAAATTATTCATTTTATCAAACTAAATTTGTAGAATAACTACTTGGGAACCCTAAAGCTGTGTTTGGAAGGAGTGTAAATGCAAATTTACGCACTGCAAAATATTACACCTCCGGTTCAGGTGCATGCAATTGTGGACCAGATTTTACCTTCGATTTACACTCTTCTTGTTTGGCAACCACTTATGCAAAACAAGGGTGTTAATTTGTGACTGTTTGGATATTTTATAAGGATGCAAATTAATGTTTCATTATAAGAAGCCAAATAGCCACTATCCCAGAATTTCAAGAACCCAACTCAATGGGTGCATTTTATTGTTCTCGTGATGAATTTATGCATTCAAAATACAAGGAAACAAGTTGAAATGATCTCCAAAATCTCATAATGGCTCTCAGACGATCTCCAAAACAGTAAAATTAAATTTAATATTATGAACATGCATCTTCTTAGTTGCAGTTTCTCTGAATACTTATCCGTGTAGTCCAGTCCTATTGCTGTACAATTAGTAAACAAACGGGAAAACAAGAAAGCAGAGACACACAAAAGGCAAGATTTAAAACAGTTTCTGAATGACTCCCTCCATCCATAGATGGACTCTTATCAAAAGCTTCATTTTGATCTCAACTGGAATTACGATCCCAGCTTCCCCTGCTAGCTTCTGAAGAACAAAGTTTATCCGATAAAACATAATTTGACCACATGGTCCACATCTACATAAAAAGTATGTATTATGTTTACAGGAAAACTCTACATTGGTCTGTATTGGGTTCTCTCCATCTTTGATGAATCATGTTTAAATACATAGCTTGGTCACAGGTTTGGATAACTATATTTCAATGGCAGCTTGAATCTGACACATGAGTTACCACCATACCATAAATAAATGAAGCAATCATGCTGATTAGCTAAAAACCGGCTGAAGCCTCTGGATGTACGCTGTGCAAGGCTGATGATGGTTCGCTTGGAGTCTCTCTGTTGAACCCACATCAGTGATAGAGCATCCTTTCCGTGTCCTAACTTCTGACTATGGTTTGCATAGGTGCAAGCCTGGTAATCAGCTACTCTCAAGGAAGGGAAGTTGTAGAGAAGCAAAGGCAACAGTATTCTAATGTGGTGATTTCTGACTTGCCTGATAGACTTACTTTGAAGAAAGTTGCAGCCAATCTGATAAAGGCGGATTTGGCCCTCCAGTGAAATTATGACACCTGACACCTCATGCCAACTAAGTGCAGCATCTTGCCAACTAGACAGCTCGAGCTAGCTACAGGCAGCTCGCCACTTACAGGCAGCTTGCCACTTACAGATAGCTCGCCACTTATAGGCACCTCGTCACCTATAGGCAGCTCGCCACTTACAGGCAGCTTGCCACTTATAGACAGCTCGCCACTTATAGGCAGCTCATCACCTATAGGCAGTTCGCCACTTACAGACAACTCGCCACTTACAGGCAGCTTGCCACTTACAGGCAGCTGGCCACTCCACAGGCAGCCTAGTGTCTTATGAACAGCTCGCCTCCTAGTAGGCCACGAAGACCTGCCTCGGGTAGAAGCACCTAGGCACATTACCGGCGGCTTGGTGAAAAGTAGCTCGGTGCAAGGTAGCTCGTTGCAGAGCAACTCGGCGTATCGCAGAAAGATTTCCTACCTGACAACCGTACCTATCAGTCCAGAGGATTGCGCCCACGTCTCACGTCAGGCGGCATCGTGCACGCCAACTCTGCATAACGTCTCTCAACTGACGGAACCGTACTTTGCGATGGTTACCTACACCAATCGAATCAGCCTGGCGAATAACAGCTGTAGCAGAGAATCAGAAGCGGTTACACCCGATTTGACAGAGCATCAATATATAAAGGCCCAGATTTCTAAGGGGCAAGAGAGGATGAAAAATAGAGGTAACCCCTACTCTCTAGCTCTCTCATTTCTCTAATATCATCTTCAAGCTCTCTACTATCAGAGTGCTAACTTAGCCATCGAAGTGGCCCCGCCAGGTAAACACCCCCGAGTCCTCTGATTCAGTTCTTGCAGGTTCCTCGGCTCCCGCCGTCTACAAAGAGGAGCAGATCATCTCATGCAGAGGGTAGTCGGGTTGCACTCCACCAAGGAGCTCGCCTCCAAGGCAACGCACTCAGCAGCTCATCAAGGTGGCTCACTACCAGGGAGCTCGCCAAGTAGCTCACCACTAGGGAGTTCGCCACCAAGTAGCTCACCACCAAGCAGTTCACCACCAGAGAGCTCCATCATCCTCTGATTCACAGGCCACCTAAGAGTAGGTCAAAAGACGAGGTACTTAGCCAAAAAAAAAATTGATACATCACGAAAAAATTGGTATGTGACCAAAAACGGTTACATCACAACCATTCATTTGAATTAGCTAAATTTGAAGACGAGCCTGGTTTCTACTTTGTTGTTTTAAAGTTTTACAGAGAAGGTATCCTCTTTGGAATAATTTATGAGAGTTAATGGTATTTCTTTAGGTATGTATTTGGAATGAATTCCTCTATGGAGAAGATCCCAAATACATTTATTTGGAATAAATGTATTTGGAATAATTTATGTTGATTTGTCTAAAGTATCTATTCAAATAGTTCTGCCATTAGAGAAAGATCTGAGCAGGTGATGCTTTTATTATTTGCTTTGGTTCATAACTAAAATTTAAAAAGATTATAAATATATCATAAAAATAAATACTAGTCAGTAAATGGATCATTAAAGAAACATAAAAACTGGAATCAGTAAAACACAACAACCAAATGTTCCATAGTTTTTTTTATTTTTTGGTATTCGGTGCCATGCACCATTAATAACTTCCCCCTTGACCCCTTTTTTCCCCAAAGTGTTAGTTGCAGGCCACACCAATGCTGGAACAAACCAGCTAACACACCAAGGAGCCAGCCCTCAATTGAGTTGGTGGCAAGCCATTCCTCCCATAGTGGAGGCACAAGATCAAACAAACATGTCTGCAGGCTCTTTGTGGTATGGCCACTAGGTCTCAAGTGCACCCAATCCCTTGCCCACCCTGTGTCTTTACTAACCTCTGACTCACTAACCCAACTATTCAAATACCAAAAATAAAGCACTAAAAAAATTTGGGTTCAAACATTTAAGTTGTTATGTTATAGAAAATTGCCGAAGTAGTTAAAGGAGTAAATTCTCTCTTGAGAAATAGTTTTCTCATGCCTATTTAGTTTGATGTGTGAAATAATTTAATAAGTATGCTTCTCAATCAGTTTGCCAGATCCAAACAAAGAAGCACTTATCTTGAGAAAAGTGGAAGGGGGCATTGTTGCAGTATTGAAATTCAGTGGAAAACCAACTGAAGACATTGTTCTTCAGAAGGAGGAAGCATTGCGCTCTGCACTTCTTAGTGACGGTTTCAAACCAAAAGAGGGTTGTTTGCTTGCTAGATACAGTGATCTAGGGTGGACATGGAGTTTCAAAATGGTATGATATTTTGGTATTTTCTTCCACTGTTCCAATAATGAGTATTCTATTCTAGAAGTGTTGCAAATGATCTCTATGAATTCATTGATAGAATTACAATGTTACACCACCCCATGCAAAACAAAAGAAAGAAATAAAGAGATTGAAAATTGGACTTGTGATTATGTTTTTATCTGTCTTCCTCACAATATATTTCCATGATCCAGTTCTCTTTACAGTTTCCTACATCATTCGAGGTTGGATGTTTGCAATGGTTTGCTTTATGTCCTTTCATTTCATCTTATCTCTTGAAATTGTTATTGACTTTTTTGTGGATGCTTTGCTTCGTAGAGAAATGAGGTGCTGATATGGCTTGAAGATTTCACATTGGAGTAGTGTTTACTAAATGCGGCCATCCTGTGATTTGAACTCCATGCTGATTGGCTTTGCATAAAGGTACTGCCAGAGGATGTTTTCAAGGTACAAACTAAAAAAAATGAGGAAAAGAAAAGGCAGTAGTTTAAGCATACAGATATCAACTGCACCATTGAAAATCTATGAAATACTTAACAATCCAAAATGTAAAGCACTTGATTCAGTAAATATTTTGTATAGAAAGTAGTTACTTCAGACATTGTTTCCCTCCCTCAAGATGAGGGAAGATTTACAAGGTCATTGGTATAGTCTTTGTTTAGGACATTATTGATTTGGTACAGTTAACAACCCTGCAAACCTGCCTGTGTTTTCCTGGTTCTGGGCTATGTTACAAGGATGCCAGGGTATTTCTTTGTCCAACTCAGACACGAGGAGTCCTAACACTGCCATATTGTGAAAAAAGTGACATTGTGTTAGAATTTGTCGAAGTAGTCGTCTGGTAACTGCTGAATTGACTGTCCAAATGTTTTAGTATTTTAAAAGGAAACCTTATTATGCTATAAAGGCATTGACTGTCCAAATGCATCTACTAACTTCCATAATTAATAGAGCAATCAAGCCATATCTAATCCAATCACCAAACTTTTTGAATGGGTCTCCAACAGGATCCCAAGCATCCATCGAGCTAATTTTTGTTTACCGTTTCTCTTTCTATGCTTTAATTCCTAGACAATCTTCTCGTAACAGATGAAACCAAATGGAGGCCAAGGAATTTTTCAATAATAATACCTAATCCATGCCAAAAAAAATGATGCAGATCCCAATTTTAGGAATGAAGATGATCATTGAAAATTATAAAGCTTTTCTATACAATAGCATTGGGCATGAAAATAGAGAAAATACAGAACCAACTACCATGGCAATGAAAACAAAACAAATAGAGTTGGAATGCCTTTGTGCAACCTTCTATCACCTCTAAATTCCTAACCAAGAAGATGGGAGTAAGAAATTCATGATTCAACCCCACAAAATCCCTTTTCAATATATCTTGTGGTAGCCACACTCATTTTCTTGGCATTCCAGGATGACAATATCGTCACCATGTATGAGAAGATTTATGGAGGAGATTTCAAGTTCATGCCTTTTCTACTAATTATAAAGCTATTGGACCCAAACCCCCATACTTGGATCACCAAATATAAGACCATGGAGATGTTCTAATTCATGAAATTTGTTATGAGACTCAACCTATTACTGAGAAAGTGAGGCTACCCTTTCCCAAGTTATAGTGCCAAGGACCACTATAGGGGAAAGCAGAGAAGTAAAAGAAATTTTAGGCAAAAGACAACAAGCTTTATTAATATGCAGTGGTTTATATAACTTGGTGGGTATCTATATGGACTTAGATTGGTTTTGCTCCTTCAATCAGTGTGATAGCATGGTTCAGAGAGGGGACATGGGGATGGTATTTCAATTGGTTCCTGAAATACATCATTAAATTAATCCACTACTGACTGAGTCCTCACATCAGTCTGGCACTCTGGCCAAAGCTAGTAAAGTCCCACACTGACTCTATTTGCTTTCAATGTATAGATTAATTCTAAAAACTAAGCACCCTCTAGAATGTGACTACCACTGTCATCACTGTATTGCAGAGTCATATCAGCAAGATTCTATGTCATTAGCCCGATGGTTCGGAGTTATTGGACTTCAAGAATAGCATCATATCTCATTGCACATGTCCACACCTCTTTAGTAAAATCAATTACAGAATCTAAAGAACCACATGCATCATTCCACAGTCACATGTGGTGACTGTAACTGAGTAGAAAAATGAAAATAGACTTGACCCACTCAAGGATGGCATTGAGTGGAGACACTGATCTCCTAAAAGAAACTCAAATAGAATGGGTTCTGCAATCTTAATGCCACTTCTAGTATGGATCATGGACCTTAAACCCTATGTAAAAGTGATTGCAGGTCACACTGAACACCCAGAAGAGATCATGGGTTGCTGTGATAATCCACAAAACTTTCCAGCATCAACTGCAGGTCACTAGTGAATTTCTAAGAGTGGTCAGAGGTCACTTAAGTGCTTCTATAAGAGATGAACCTGGCTCTGGTACCATGTAAATGTTGTATAGATAAGAAACAAGTGGGAGAAAATAAAATGATCTCCCACCAATTGACAACTTCCTTGTTTATATGTTTTAGAGTACATATAAAAGGTCTATTCTTTCCTTAATGAAGTGGGGCAGAGCTTAAACTGTTCTCATATCACAATGACAAGTAAAGACACCAAACTATCCCTGGTCTCACACCTCTTAACAGAACTCAACTCAACTCAGACAAACTATTGACCAACTCAGCCTTAACCCCAACTCAGGGGAAGTTGATATAAGTTGGTATAATAGTGATACACCATTTAAACAGTTGTGTTTAGGATGTCTCATCACTTTATGCTGGGCTTTTGGAAGGGTCTAGTTCTCTTCTTCTATTTCAGGTTACCTGGATGTTTATTGATCAATAATTTTCATCAAACAAGCTTTAAACAAGTATTTTATGTGAAGGTTAATCAAGCATGGGATGAATGAATCTTATGCATATAAATACTTTGTCTTCAGAGCACAACATATAGTACTATCCCATGGATATGAAATGGTTAATTGGTAAAGGACTTGGGCTCAAGGTTTTCTAAATCAGTACTATCTATCTACCTATCTATATGTACCATCTCATTTGTGCATTTGTAAAATGAACAGGGAGGAAACCTTCAACAACTTTGGCAAGCAATTGAACCCAAAGACAGCAGTGCACAACTGGTATGGCTTTTTTCCTTTCATTTTTAAGGAGTCTATAGTTCAAAAGGCCCATATCAATGCATGCATTTCTTTATTTAACTGTAACTTATGCATATATATTCTGTAGGGAAGATTTTRAACCGAACTAAGGATACTATTAGTCTTTGAATATCTAAAAATCACCATATGGATAGATAGAAATTGGTTTATGATATCAGATTATATGTAACAATCCTATTTAATTTTGCTGAGAGCTATTAGGGATGCCATAACAAAGAATTACCAAACAAATAAATAATACCTACCAAAAAAAAGAATTACCAAATAAGTAATATTTCACTATTATAATATACATCAAATACTCGAGTTGCCCCAGTAGTATTCATCAATGATTTTGTTCTTTTGCCTCTTGCTGGTGAGGTTATAACTGATATTATCTTCATTGCAATGAGTAATGTACAGAAATAATTTGATTACTGAAAACCAAAGGGAAAAAGAAAGACCAGAAATTAAGAAAATTGGGTCTAGGAGACATGAGCCGGTAACATGTCAATAGGGTATGCAATTAGTGTTTGAAAGAAATCAGGTACAGGAGAAATCTTGCAGCAGTATTTGAAAATGAAAATCAGGTACAGGAGAAATCTTACTTTCACTTTTAGAGATACGTTGAAGGGGATCTAAAAACGATGTTGGTCAGGAGCTTTGAACAAGAGAAAAACTAAATAAAAGAACAAAATAACACTAGATCAATATCTGTTCAGTAAATCGGATGGAGAAATGAAAATGATCGTTGTTCTCTCACCTGCTTAAACGCAGACCTCAATGCAAACTTCAACAGAGACGAGGTTCATTGTTCAGATCTCAACGCAGATTTAAACGCTGACGCTCGGATTATCAAGGCTGTTGGCGGATGTTTCGAACTCCTCATATCTCAAATCTGAGAATAATAGTCATTGCTCAGATCTCAGAGTGTCGTGCCAGTGGAAGAGCATAAATTCCTCTTCTATTTCTCTCGATGAAATAGGGCGTGATTTTTTACTTCAAAAAAAAACGTAGTTTTCCACCGCTAAATCAATGTAAATCATCGGGTGTTTGCAAATTTCCATCGATAATAGAGGCTTTTTTACACTGTTTCCAAACACATGCAATTCTAGACCGGAGTGCAATAATGCACTGAACCAAAATTTACACTCCTTCCAAACGCAGCCCAATGGATTAAGGTGTTCCTTCAAGGGTTATATTCGGATTCTCCCATGCATTTTTAAGCTTCTTAGATTTAAGTGCCAAGATTTACCAAAAAAAAACTTTATTTATCCCTTCTCATAAATTTGTACTTTTTTGAACGGTTAAGAACAATGAAATTGGGATACTGATGCCAATTCAAGGGAATAATGTATTATTAAATAAGGGTATTGAAAATTTTGAAATGTTGTATTAGGTAGAGAGTGGTTTCAGTCATTTTTTTCTAAGATTCATGCGAGGAGAAAACCCATATCCAGAGGAGGTTACAACCTAATTAATGGAGCTTTTTAATTTAACCCAAATCAATACCTTTTTAATGGATGAGTGGATGAATCATGAGTGTACATTTCCAACACTACCTCAATAATAAAATGACAAGTATTCGCCCCAGCCATCCATCCCACCCACCTCAAAGCAGCATTCCCTTCCCTGATCCCCCTATTGGTCACATCGTCGTATGAATACAGTAATAGTTTCTGTCAGTCAAAGAATTGGGAAATTAAAAAGATGCCCCCTTAATATTTGGCACAACACATTCCTTTCATCCCACACCACAATGTTGTCCTAGTTCGTTTGTGGACATATGGAACCCCGCTAGAACCATGATCCACCAGCTATCAATAACATAACCAGACGGGACACCTTTGACAAAACGAAAAAAAGACCCACAAAAATACCTATTCTGCAAAGCAACTAGGGTTCATTCACCGGCTGAAAGCTTGGCACAGCTCCAATGACAGCATTGACAGGGTATATAGGTCCAGAACCGTCAGCCAACATTTCCGGTGCAACAGGTTCAATCCCAGGGAATGAGCCACCTTGCGTTCCTGGTGACATAGGGGATTCTGGAGGAGCCCCGTAATCAGGTGCTGCTGTAATCTGGTCGTGATCCCTTTCGTTTTCCCTCTGATATCTATCATAACTGTGGCTCTTGCTCTGGCTCCGGCTCTGGCTCCGACTACGGCTGAAGCTGCGGCTACGACTACGGCTGAAACTGCGGCTGCGGGACCGACTCCGACTCCAACTATGACTCTTGCTTCGGCTTCGGCTTCGGCTTCTACTTCTGCTTCTGCTTCTGCTATAATCCCATGTCCGCACCCTTTCTGGACTGGGACTATAACTTCTACTGTAACTTCTACCTCTACTCCTATCTGCAATTCCTCTTCGGTTATCATACCTCCCCCTACCATCCATGTTATTGCGCCTATCATACGGAGCCCGATCATATCTTCCCCTGCCACTCGCACCTCCACCAGGCCCAAATCCTCGTCCCCGGTTTCCACGTCCACCAAAAGTTTCATTTCTCCCACCACGGCCCCCAAAACCACCATCCCTCATGCCACCCCGGCCACCAAAGCCACCATCCCTCATGCCACCACGGCCCCCAGAATCCCACCGTGCACTGCTAGATTCCCAACGGTTCATCCCACCCCGGCCCTTGCCAAAACTGGGCCCACCACGCAAAGCCATCTCCCGCAATTCTGGTGGAACTCGTTGATTTGACCCCTCCAAAACTTTAACCAGATCAGTTGCATACTTCCAGTCCTGATCAGAGAAGAAGGTATACGACACCCCCGTTGCACCTGCCCTTCCAGTTCTTCCAATTCGGTGGACATAATCCTCGACCCCAGTTGGAAAGTCATAATTGATAACCACCCTAGAAAAGAGCACCGAAAAAAGTCAGATGACAAATATCCTAATAATATTTTTTTATCAGTAAAGGGTACAAAATATCCTAACAATGTTACAAATATAAACCTCTTTTCAAGTCGGAAAAATAACTATATGAGGTATATGTGAAAGCAAACAAGGATTGCTATTCCTGCTTTCCATCCTTTTCAGCAGATAGTAACAATTAAAGGACAACTAACCTAATGTCTTTAATGTCAAGTCCCCGAGCAGCAACATCAGTGGCAACTAAAATAGGGGACTTTCCACTGCGGAACTGATTCAGAACCCAGTCCCTCTCACCCTGAGACTTGTCTCCATGGATTGCAATAGCACCAAAGTTGCGCCCAATACTGCGTGCAAGTTGATCACATAACCTCTTTGTCGAGCAGAAGATGATAATCTTAGACCCACGTTCTTGAGCTCTGAGAATTTGTTCCAAGCGCCTCTGCTTCTCCATCTGTGGGACTACCTCAACGTACTGCAGAATAAAATGAACACATGATTTAGAGAGAGGGTGGTTCTCCCTTTTTAGGAGGGATGGGGACAAAGGAATCCAATATCTCTAATTCCCAAATAGGGACAAAGGAATCTAATATCTCAACAATAATGCACAAAAATCAATGTGACCTGACCACCATATCTCTAGTTGATTACTTTCTAAAATACAAGGGGAAGGAAAATTGACAACAGAAACAAATGAATACAATGAACAAGATCAATTTATGGCCTAAGACATGTTCCAGTGAAAAACTATAAGATAATACAAACTGGGATACTAATTTGTTCTTCAGATACACCAAAAATACCATTCTGGATTTGAGCTTAACTGGAAATAGTTCTAGTAATATATAGAAATTTTAAATAAGATAATAGAGATAGGCATAAGTTGAAATGCAATAGACAAGACACAGAGGAGCAGACAATAGATTATAAGATTAAATAAGAAAGTTTTAAGAAAAAAATGAAGATAAGAAAAATGAGTAATAAAGGAAAAAATGAAATTTGAGTCTGTAAATGAAATTAGTAAAGTGTCATTACAGTTGTTTTAGGAGCATCGTTCATATTTTAAGTGTCTCTATGGTCCATCTATGGGTTTGCCTTAATTTCAAAGCAATTATAAATTGTTTTGGGTCAATTCCCTAATCTAATTTACGTCTGTAAATGGGTCATCCCAATTATATGGTGAGTCTATAAATAGCCTCATTGTCATCAAAAGGACAATTGATTTGAAGAAAAAAAGTTTGGTTTGATCGATCTGTTCTGGTTGTTGTAAGTTCTCCTTCCCCCATACCTTTTTGTTCTTCTAAGGCTGCATTTGGCATTCCTTATTTCAAGGACTTAGCTCCTTTTGCAATTAAAATGTCCTTATTTTAAGGAATGCTGAATGCAGCCTAAGTAATGTATTGCTTTGCCATCTACTATAACAGCAAGAGTTCTTTTTAATCTTTCGTACATTCTTTGGTGGGACAACATCACAGCAAATTATCTACTTTCTTCTCTATTCCTATTCTCCATCCTTGATCACCAAAAGCCCCTCCTTCACCCCACAAAGCCGACCATGAGATCTGAAATTTCTAGGACCCCTTATCTATGCTGCATCATCAACGTAATTCCTCGTGACAAGAGTATCAGTAAATACTTTTCATTTGCCATTTTCTAAATATGTACAGTTTACCTGTGTGATGGCTTTGTTCGCAACAAGCTCATTGACAGTCCCTATGTTCACCTGGACAGGGTTAACCAGTAGATCTCCTGCTATTTTTCTAACCTCCTTGGGCCAGGTTGCAGTGTACATGAGAGTCTGCCTGCGTGGGGGAATCTCATTCACAATCTTACGTATTTGAGGTTCAAAACCCATATCAAGCATTCGATCTGCCTCATCAAGCACAAGTAAGGAAACTTGACGGAAGTCGATCTTCCTCATCTCAAGAATGTCATTGAGCCGACCAGGAGTTGCCACAACAATGTCTGCCCCTCGATCTAAATCTCTAAGCTGGGGGCCCTTTGGAGCTCCACCATACAAGCACTGAAACATGAATCGAGCCATTACTAGATCAACATTTTAAATGGCAAAAAGGTAAAAGGAAAGAAGTAGAAGACTATTATTTAAGACACCATATGGGACATACAGTGCAAGAGATGTGTGAAGACCGACCAAACTTGATAGCCTCATCTTGTATTTGTGTTGCAAGCTCACGTGTTGGAGCCAAAACCACAACTGTTGGACCATTCTGAGGATTATTTCGACATTGTCTAAGATGGATGAAGGCAGGAATCAGATAACCCAAGGTCTTCCCAGAACCTGTTTTGGCAATGGCCACTATATCCCTACTCTGGAGTGCAATAGGCCATGTCTGTGCCTGTATTGGTGTGGGAGAAGAAAAACCAGCAAGATGTATCTGAAACAGAAAATTGCAAACAATAAGGAAATCATAAACCAAACACTTCTAGTAAAGACAATTGCCCACATACTGAACAAACAAAAAAGATAGTTGCCCATCCACGTTTTACAAATCATTATAACAAACTAATTTAGACCATGCATTATATAAAGATAGAAGTATAAAAATAACTAAAAAACAACCCCATGTGTATATAGTTGCTTACTGAAGCAACTTGAGGCAGCAAAAGGGGCCATCTCAGACCAAGTGGTAGAGTGAAGAAAGCAGGAAAGCCCCAGCCTCGTCATGTCTGAATTGGAAGCAGGGCCCACCACCCTCCTAAAACTTGCCCAGGTAAGGCTCCAAGTATTCATTTTGCAGCCCCCAAGGGACAGAGAAGTTGCTGTGCATCAGGGTGCGTATAGCAGCACAGCGTACGACATATGCTCCTCTTCTGGAGCAGATATCGCACCTGCGACAAGTGAAAATAGATGAGTTTAAACATCTATAAATTTATACAGTAAAGAAAGACTAGCACCCAAAAAGGAAAAAACTACAATCCCTATTGGATATTTGGCCAATCAACAACATCAAGAATTAGGATAATTCAGAGTAGTGAAACCTACCTCTCTGAGTATTTCTGGAGGGAAACCAGTAGCTTCAAATGTCATGAAGGGAGCAGGAACATTGTCACCCTGAGTATTTTGTTTCACAAATCAAAATCATACCTCACACTAAAAACAAAGAGAAGAAAAAAAAATCCACAAAAAAGCATAAAAGGAAAGATTCCACAACGGCACTGAGAGGTCATAACAAATTCCAGGCAGTACTAGCAATCATAAGAACTAAATGAGAAAGACTAGTGCCATACCAGATATTCTGTCACCAATCATAATAGCATCCCCAAAAATAAATAAATTAGGGAGATGAATATTCTTGACACGAGTAAAATGATTAGACATACATAGACAGTGCATTTCAGGAAAAGTAACTTCAAAAAGAAATATATGAAAATACCAATCATGATAGTGTTAATAAATTGCAGCAAACTGAAAACTCACATTTATTAACCATGTGCATTATATAGGCCAGGACAACATTGAGTAACAGCCCTTATCAACAAAATAACTACCACATTAACCAATAAGTGCAGTTGAATTGGATTGCAAAAATCGCTAAATGGGATAAAGAGAAGTATCATAACAATTTCAAGCACAATAAAAAAGACAACAATCAAGGTGAACCTGATCATGATGATCAGATGATCACAGTTTCAAATGTGTAGATTTTATGCAATGGTGGAGTGCCTAGATGTCTATTGAATGGAATTTGACAAAAAATACTAAATTCAAGGTCAGGTACCAAGATTTATATACAGAATGCATACAAGTTAAAATAATAGCACCGCTCTTAAATAAATGCTACTGAATTTCAATTCAAACAATGGCTAGTCATCATATCGAAAAGATATTAACATTTTAAATCTATTAATTTTAATATTTCAAACATGACACTATAAAACAATAATTTAATAGAGCAATTGTCTGTAAACAACTACTAAAGAAGGGTACAAATACAATTTTATGCTAGTAAAATATTTAGGAAGAGTAATGAAAAGGGGGGAAAGATCTAGGGGTGGAGACCCAATTGTATAATCATATTTTCAGAGAGAATGAGAGATAGCAATTTCACAAAAAGGGGGCAAAACTGTTATCCTCTAAGAGAAAATATGAGAAGCCTAACAAATTCTCATGTAAGCCTCACAAGTGTAACTGCACATCTGCACCCTATGGGAGGCCAAATAGAGCTGTGTGCACCTAGACTGGTTCCAAGGCATTCTCGTTGAAGTGAAACAAAATCAAGAATTTCCCAGTTTCTACTTTTTATAAATTTAAAAAAAAAAAAGAATTCTAGGGGATTTTTATCAATAACAAATTCTAGAGGAAATTTTGCTAATGTTTTCTTCTACTTTTGATGTATTTAGTTGTTTTTTTAGTTTCTATTTTTAAATGTAATAGGTTTGAAAGATCAATAGTTTAAACTATTTCTTAAGTGGGGTCTACAATGTCTTATTTTGAGCAAACATGAGTCATAAAGGGTGGACTTGTCCCCTACTGCTGGGTCCATAAATGGGCCATGTTGTAATAGAAGAAACATGATTGTATCTTTGCACAGTTGTCAGGGTAAGGCACATGAATAGTTAGTGTCTTCCATATTGTGTGTCTTCCTGCTCTTGCTTTTCATCTAGGAAAAACAGAAAGGATGGGATCAGAAATGAACTTATGTGAGATGATAAATTGAGAAGAAAGCATCATTTCTAATGGCATATTTATGTTTAGAAAGCCAGCTAGCTATTATCTCCATCTAGCCTCAACTCTCCATCTCAAACTCAGAACCCCTGGTCGCTCAGTCAGAACCAATTCTCATTCACAGCACCTTTCTTTCCCCTACCATTATCCAAGATATCCCATACCCTGGACCCATTCCCACAGTTGCCAGCGCAAGTGTGGTCCCATGGAGATTCTCTCAATCAAAAATTTGACCCTTGACGAGGGGACAGAGCTTTAAAGGAGATGATCCTGGCCCTATTTTATGTGGCCAAAAATAGATTAGTTAGAGTTTCTGAATCATATGCAGTGGAGAATAACAGGACCATCTGGACCCCTTCCTCCAGGAGAAGTTTTAATGATTTGGAATTGGATATGGAAGCCTAACACTTTGCAACCCTTCAAAAACAGCACCTAAAGGTAAACCTACAAGCTCAAGATACCAGAAGTTGGAAGTGAACACAATCTAGAGAGTTTACGTGAAGTCTTTCGACAAAGATCTTGTTGGGGAGGCAAGGGATTATTTCCCAAGCAAAGATAATTGGAGGGCTGCTGCTCCTTTGAAACTCAAGTTTTTCTTCCTGGTGGTAGCTTGCGAAAAATGTCTTACAAAGATTTTGTTGCTGAAGAGAGGCTTTAATGTTCCAAATTTACTTTCTGTGCTCTAAAACAGAAGGGAGGTAACTTCAAATCACCTATCTCTGCATTGTAGGTTTAGTGCTGCAGTTCGGCCCCATTTTCTCAGAGCTTTGAACCTGCAGCTGTGCTGACCCAGATCAATAAAAAACCTGTGAGAAGAATGGTAAATCTCAGGCATGTCTAGGAAAGGGAAGGTCTATTGGTCAGCAGTTCCAGCTGCAATTTTGCGGGCCATATGGCTTGAAAGGAATTGCAGAATTTTTTAACAGATGTCAATCTCAGAGTCAGGGATGATCAATGTAGTAGTAGAGAGTTTAAAGAGTTGGCTGTCTGTACACAATGTGTTAAACAAGTGTTCCCTTGTTAAGTTGCATATGCTAAGAAGATGATTACCTTGCAAGTCTCAAAAAGATTTGATGCTAATCTACATATATCATTCTAAAGACTCGTTTGAGACTGAAGACCGGTGAATGAATATTAATGATGGGAATTTGAATTCTTCTTACAGTTTTACGGTTTGGTAGAGACTCTTAGATAAACCTAATGGCACTAACTCCATCACGTTCCTATTTATCGTTACAACAGATATTTATTGATGTTATTCAGCAAAAAAAAAAAAACAGATTTTATTGATGCTATCTTCATACTTGAAGAAGAGGGGGGTTTGGGACATGGGAGGGTGACTAGAAAAAATCAAGCTCTGTTAGGGAAATGGTTGTGGCGATGGACATTGGAAAGAGAGAGATTGTGGCATGAGGTGGTGGGAAGCATTCATGGGAGGTCAGAGAATGGATGGGATGCTGGTGTATCAAGGTAGGCTAACCTAGCAGCACCTTGGAAAGCCATTCACAACACCCTTTCTCAATTCCTCAATTTTATCAGGTAAGAAGTTTGTTCTAGCAACGCTGTTCGTTTTTGGGAGGATATTTAGGTAGGAGACACACCTTTAAAGGACATGTTCCCTTTGTTATTTTCTGTTTCTTTGTATAAAAAAGAGGTGGTCTCAAAATTTGTCTCACCTTTGAGAACACCCTTAGATCCTACTTGGGATTTTGGGTTTCGTAGAGGGGGATGATGAAATTGAATCCAATTCTGTCTTGCTTTGTTGTCTTAATCAGGTTTGTTTAGATCCCTCCAAGCCAGATAAGAGAGTGTGGACTCCTAGACCCAATGGAACCTTCACTTGTGCTTCTTTTTTCAAGTCCATCTCTCAACTTTCTACTCACCAACCCTTTCCGTCAAAAGAAATTTAATGCAGGCCAGTTCCCCCTAAGATTATGGCGTTTTGTTGAGAAGTATTCCATAGGAAAGTAAACACTCTAGATAACATGCAAAAGAGAAGACCTTTCCTCTATATTTCTCCTAATTGGTGTATCCTCTGTAGAGCTCACGGTGAGGATTGTTACCTCCTATTAATATCTTGTCCCTTTTTTGCAGACCTTTAGGCTTGGCTACTTTCGTTGTTTGGGAGTAATTGGAGTCTACCAGCAGAAGTTCGCATGCTCTTCAACCATTCTACTTTTTTTTACCTACAAAAATAGGGAGAATTATGTGGAGATGTGCTCACACTACCTTGATTTGGACTCTTTAGGAAGAAAGGAATGCTAGAATTTTTCAAGAAAAGGAAAGGAGCAATCAAGAATTGAAAGACCAGTTCCCCCCTTTGGAAATCTTTCATCAATTCTCCTTTAATGACCTTTGAAGAAACTGGTTAGCAATAGCGAGGTGTTCACCCCTAAAGGACAAATCAATTACAAGCTGGTCTCCTCCATCTGAAGGCTCAYTGAAGTTGAACTTTGATGRAAGTAGCATGGGTAATCTAGGATTATCCGGAATGGGGGGTGCTTTGAGAAATGAGAAGGGAGAGATTTTGTTGCTCTACTCGGGTCCCTTAGGAATTGGGGACTCTATCAGGGCAGAGCTATTAGCTAATGTACAAGGGGTGCAATTTGCAAACCAGCTGGGATACAACACCTAATAATCGAAGGGGGTTCCAAAGTGGTGGTGGGTTGGTTGAAAAATCCTAAAGAGGCTATGTGGTGCTACAAGAATGAAATGAAGAAATTCAATTGGTTGACAAGGAATATGTTGGTCACTGTACAGTGGGTGGAGAGATCAGCAAATACTTTGTCAGATGTGTTAGCCAAGCAAGGGATAAATAGGGAAGAATTGTTTTGGGCTCAGATGTGATTCCTGTTTTTCTTTCTTAGCTTACTTGTAAGATTCAAGGAGGGGCTGCAGCTCGCGCCTCTCCCTGGGATGTTGTATGGATTCACTCTAAATTAGCTTCTGAATTAATAAATCTATTATCATTCATAAAAAAATGCCTTAAAACTTTCTTAATCTTTTCCTATTTTGGCCTACCTTTATTCCATTGCAAGCTTATCCCCCTATACTTTTTTCTTTATTCTCCCACTGCTCTTATCATTCATAAAAAAAAGCCTTAAAACTTTCTTAATCTTTTCCTATTTTGGCCTACCTTTATTCCATTGCAAGCTTATCCCCCTATACTTTTTTCTTTATTCTCCCACTGCCCTCTTTGTTTTTTATTTATTCTCTCACTCTGATTCTTCTTCTTTCTTTACACTTCATCTATCTCTAGGCTTTCTGCATTTCTTTTAGAATGTTAGAGATTACATCCTTTATTTTCTGAAAAAAGGTGAAGTATAGCACATTTACACCCAAAAGGGGCTATACAAAGATTCGATTAGCAAGAAGTTAACATGAAAACAATGCAATTATCCAACCCTGTCAAAAAAATCTGTTATGCTCTAAACCCCGGAATTCCTTGTGTACTAAGCACCAAAGAACATGGCTTTGCTTTAATCCTTCCCATCACCACTTGGACATTTGATGTTGTGTTTTCAAAAATCCAAGCATCCCTCTTCTGCCACGCACACCATAACACAACCATAGGAATCAAGCGCCACACAATATTCCCTTTTTTATTCAGCCCTTTAATCTTCCAGCTCATCACAAATGCTAATATGGAATGAAGAAAGCACCCCCATCCACCCACCCAAGAGCATTTAAAAAAAAAAAAAGTGCTCCACATCTTGGTACAGCAAGGACTGTGCGGTTAGCAGACTCCAACTCCAAGGATAGAAAACAAATCCCCTGCTAACCAGCTTGTCTTGAGTCAGGCACTTCCCCAAAGCTGCAGTCCAAACAAAAAATATATTTTTGAAGGGGCAGCAGACTTTGAGATTCTGCAAGCAGGGAAGTCACCCACAGTGCATTGGTCCAACTTGGTGTAGAAACGACCCACTATTCCCCCACCTCCACTTTCTGCAATCAGGTTGCCCCACCTAGGGAATGAATTGCCGAATAGACTGAAGCACATCCATCATCTACTCCACCTCCCAATCATTCAAATTCCTTCTAAGAGTTGGAGCCCGTGTAACAATACCATTAACCAATAGGTAACAATCTTTTACCAAAGTCTCCCTGTTCTAAGTAGCCAAAAATAAATATGGATACACTTCCAACAGAGCTTGTTGTTCACACCAACTATCCATCCAGAACTTAACCCTATTACCATTCCCCGCCTTACAACGCACACCTTAAGAAAATTGAGGATATACTTTTTCAATATATTTTCAAACCAATGTACCATAAGATTGCAAGTTGCTACCCGCCTCCCAATCCAATTCCCTTGCACCAAATTTGGCTTCAATGACTTCCTCCAAAGGCTACCCAGCTCCTCACTAAATTCTCCAGCACCATTTGAAACCCCCTTTTCACTAACTAATTAGTTCTGTTTTAATAATTTGTTGATTTTTTTGGATAATTTAGTCTGTTGGTTATTTAAGTCTCCTATAATCATTCCAGCCTGTTTTGTTGGGCAAACCAAAGCTAGATCTCATAGCAACAAGATGAGGGCCTTGTGGCCTGATAAAAGATGCTTACACCCATCCCAGTCACCCAATTAGCGGCTGTTTGGGTGGGCTCTGCATCAATTCTTCATTAAAAATTATGCATTCTGCCTTTTGGTTCACTGTAACAGAATGTCATGGTGGTTCATCATGCAAAGATACCAGTACCTCACCAAGCACTTGTACTCAGAAAAAAAATGCCTGTATAAGCAACCTTTTGATATTTTAATTTATATCCCCACATATTTTAATTATTATTTGTTACACTAGATTTTGTTTAATAGGATGAATGCTAATATTAGAGACATGCCCATTTTTTTAACTTTTTGCGGTTCTCTGCATCTATCTATTTGTTATGTTTTTTAATTTATTATATAATTTATGATATCACGAGTTGACCCATTTGGCCGGGTGATTGAACTGCTGATCCACCACCCAGAGGGGAAGTGGTTCATATTTTGGGCCATTTTTTAAATTATTGAACAAACAAACCCAAGTAAAATACCAACCGTTGCGGTAACTTCGTGCTGTCGGCGGTAGACCTCAGCAGGTGACAGATTTCCAGCATCCACTGAACCAAACATCCTTGAAGCAGGCCTTACTGGTGCATTGCTAGGAAAAGGTGGTACCACAGCAGCATGATGGTACATGTTAGGCATTGCATGCCCTGGCATAATGTTTGGTCCACCGGCATGACCAGGTGTCATTCTCTGGGGAGGAACACCATCCATCCACACTCCCTGTTGCAAAATATCAACAATGCCATCAATATCCCTTCATTTCAAGTACAGCACAACGGAAACATGGTCAACTATTCCTTTTCTCTTTTTCTATTGCAAGTTCTTGTCCATGTATGTTGGTTGTCATTCTAACTAATATAGAAATAAGATATCGTCATGACTGCCATGTGGAGAAATGAAAAACGTATATATTACTTACATGCATTTGATTAAATTTAGGAATCATGGGATGGGGGTCAACTCAACTTGGGATCCATTACCTCACAACAGACAATTTAGAGGATAATGTCACTTTTTTTTCTTAACTTGTAATATTTTGAAAACATGAGAAGTGAAAATCGACTAAAGGTTACTGCATACATAAATAGTGAAATCAATCCATGGTGTGATGTCAAACCCTATAAAGCAGTAAATAGATACACTTCTTTACAATTAAATCTCTCACCACCACCCCCAAAAAAAAATGGTTAAAGCACCAAATACCTGTTTGGTACAGTGACATTTTGACAGAGTTGAAGGGTTATGAAGCACTCAACTCAATCACCTCTGAAACAATGTTATGGCAAATTGGCAATAGTCACTCACACGGCCACTGTATGAAATGTAGCATTGGCCAAAAAAATTGAATATGGCAATATTGGTTATACAGGGTCACTCCATTATCCCAACTTGACAAGATCAACAGTGGAGTCAACACAATGGAAGAAAGTGATGATCAAAGATTCAGCAAGCTAATACAAAAGGTAAGACACATTAAGAAAAACATGACCCAGAACACTTTTATACTTTGTAATATACAATATGTAATAGAAGTACAGAACTCAATCACAGATAAATTCCAGATAGAATCCTATAAGACAGTAGAACCTAAACAAAGATCCACATATAGGTCTGTGCAAGAGCTTGCTTCTGAGGTGTTGTTCTAGAGAGGAAGAGCCATTTCAAGAGACAAGATATAATATTCCATTTTTTATTGCAGGAATGTTATCAAAGCATGACCCAGAGCCACTTCAAGCCTTAGACAATATATAATGTTCCATCATTAATAAACGTGATCAGAAGCATTCTATGGGAATGTTATCAAAGCTTACCTGCTGGTTCCGTCCCATGGGAATGGTAGTAAGCCCTGGTGGCTGAGAAACCATACTTGTACCTTCCTTATTGGCATTGAGGTATAAATCATTACCAGCTCTTCCACGAGGATTTTCATACTCTATTTTCAAACCAGTAGAGGGTCCACCAGCTTGTTGATTAGGAATAACAGATGGCCCCATCTGATTTCCAACCATGGGTCCACCCATTTGTTGCCGGAGAACAGGATCCATCCCAATTTGTGGCATTTGAACCAATGGTGAACCAGTTTGTTGTGCACTCACAGCAGGGCTACCAAATTGTTGTGCATGAACTGACCGCGCACCAATCTGTGGAGTCTGCACCGAATGAGTTCCAGTGGGTAGACTGTGAAGAGAAGAGGTTCCAGCCTGTTGGATCTGTGATGTTGAAATTCCAATCTGTTTCCCTTGTTGATACTCAGTTTCCTCCTGTATAAATCCCATTTTCTGCCCCTGTTGATATGTATTCTGTTGTGACTGCTGTTGGGAAATTGGCTGTCCCTGTTGACTCCCAGTCTGCTGTGCCTGCTGTTGAGGAATTTGTGGCCCCTGCTGGTGTGCACCCTGCTGTGCTGGTTGCTGCAAATGCTGTGAACCCTGTGGATGTGGTGTTTGCTGATATGACATTTGCTGCAGGTGCTGATACTGAAACTGCTGCCCAGGTTGATGCGGCATTTGTTGCCCTTGATGTTGAGGTGTTTGTTGCCCAAGTTGTTGTGGCATTTGTGGTACCTGTTGGACCATTTGTGGCCTAAACTGATGTTGCATTAGCTGCCCTTGCTGTAGAACAGCTTGTGTCATTTGTGGCTGTTGTTGCACAGCCTGTGTCATTTGTGGCTGTTGTTGTACAGCTTGTGCCATTTGTGGCTGCTGTTGCACAGCCTGTGCCATTTGTGGCTGCTGTTGCACAGCCGGTGTCATTTGTGACTGTTGCTGTGTAGCTTGTGCCGCTTGCTGTGCCTGCTGTTGACCTGATGCAACATGTTGCTGTGGTATTAATTGTTGCTGCTGAATGCCTTGTGCAATTTGCTGCCCTGATTGTGGTGTCACCTGAGTCATTTGCTGTCCCTGCTGACCTAACACACCATTCGGCTGTTGGAATGTCCGGGCCATGGGTATTGGTGCCAGCTTTGGAGTAGATGCCGCAGGAGGAGGGCCCGGTGGCAATGGAGGGGGAAAACTGACTGGCCTTTCATATTGCGTAATATTAGTTTCAGGATTCCAATAGTACAAAAGGCCGGTGCTTCCGTCAATCAATCCCTTCCAAGGCTTTGGAAGTGTTGGATCATCTGGCGCAAATCTAGGACCCAGCGAAGCTGGAGCTGCCTCCGCAGTTGCCATAGAAATCCTTCTACCAGAAGCCACTACCTTGTAGAACAATCGGTGAATAAGGCTTCACAAGCACTATCCTTAGAGACAAAATATAAAAGAGAAAGAAGTCCTATATTTCTCAAACAAAAATTCAAGAAAATGCTACAGTGCTAAACCTAAAAAACAAAAACTAGAAAAAGCATGATCCGATGCCGAAAGCTAGATTAACAGGTAACGTCTTTATGCCAACAATTCATGAAATTCTAACATTTACAACCCTAGATAGTTTAAGACTATACCGATTTGAAACGCGTAGTCCTACAAAATGTAATCAATTTGACAAACAAGGATGCCAAAAACAGTAAACCCTAGAAAACCAAAAAAAATGGTTCATGGGCACTGAAACGATATATTCGTCGATAAGAGAGCTACAGTTCTCACACCATAACCAAGAACCTCGCACTGTAAAGAATTTGTTTACCTGATCGAGGAATTTGCTACCTTTGGAGTTCCACAGAGATTATCCTCCCTCTCTCTGTCTCGCCCTTGTGCGGAATAAATGAGGAGGGAGAGCGGTAAACCCTAAATCCCCCTCGGCCCCTCCCTTTTTTCTGCCGTCTGATATTTTGGAGACCGCAGAGGAAAATAAAATAAACAAAAAATATCTATAAGGTTGGTTCGAACACCAAAACCCGAAAACAGGAAAGCAATCCAATAGCTTGGGTTATGTTATATAGGACACGAGAATTGTTAACAAGCCGTTTACGCTGAACTATGAAAACCTTGTACGGTTATACCCTCGGGAATCAACACAATCTGGACCATTCATCCTGATTACAAGGAAATACGCAGACGCCAACAGTAATCCCTGGATCTGCTAACGACAACGCTACCTACATGATGCTACAACCACACATCGGGAACATCACAAGATGCTTCACCGGCACATCGGGAACATCTCAGTTTTCAATCATGGGCAGATATTCCTGATGTACGGCTTCAATGTGGGTAGTAGATCCGAGCTCGGTTCAATGGTTGTTTAACCTTTATTCATTTTTCTATCAATTGCTTTTTAATCAGATAAACTCACTACTTGTGGTAAAAATGATTAGGGCTTTTTATCTAATTTAAATAATGAAATCAAGTTTAATTTGTAATTAATGATTTATTTCATCAAAAAGAATAGCTACACCATTGAAAATCTCCACATCTAAGTATTCTATTTGAATTGGGCAGCCCAACCCAGCTTGACACCACCGAACCTGAGCTTTTATATGGGTTAGCCTGACTTTATACATATTTTTAATCAATTCTATTTATAAGTTGGGTTCTAAGCCCAATACATTATGGTTGTAAAAGGAAATAATTATAAATTCAAGTTGTTTTTTTTTTCAAAAATAATAAATAAAATGAACTCAAGATGTGCCCTTAAAACGGTTTTCTAAAAGAGGGAACAAAAAATAAAATGTGACACCTTACACCCTAATTAATTTACCAAGTTGGTGATGGTGATAGATAAACATAGTAGCTTTTATAATATTTAATATAATGATACTAAGGCCTTCGTAATTTGCCAGTAAATAAGAGGAGAAAGCTGGTTAATGGATATTTATTTCTTATTGATTAGTTGTATAGTGTTATTTTTTTCATTAATTATTGGACCCTACGGTAAAGAGATCTTCTTTTGCGAGGGTAAAACTTATCCATCTCTCGTGTAGTTAAGTAACTTTTTTACATGAGCCGAAATTATATAAAATGTGGTAAAATATAAAAACCTCCCTTAAAGTTTTTGACAATTATAAAAATATCTTCTATAGTTTCATTTTAACAAATACCTCCCTTCAACTTTTGAGAAATTCAACAAAAACCTACTTGCTGTCACTGACTCAATTATAAACGTTAAATTAATGCATATTTTGTTCAAATACCCATTTTACCCTTTTATAAATTATTTTACATAAAATGTTACTAAAATAACTCCATTTTAATCTCCACAAACAACTCGTTTTGATTTTTATCCTTAGTTTACTAGACCATATTAGTTGGGAGTTGGAGTAGTGAGGGAAAATATGGTGGGCTGAGGAGCATCACACAAGAGCAATTAAGTGGTTGGGATGATGGCCCTGCACAAGGCCCCATCTTCTTGACCATTCGATCATGCCCGTATGTTAGATAATTTCAATACTATTTTTTTGTTTTTTTTTTTCTGTAAATGAATTTCTCTCCTAATTGCAAGAGAAGTAGAGGTGGTAACGGATGCAATGTTGGTAGAGGTGTAAATCAGGCCATGCCGCCCACGGCCTGGCACAACTCAACACGATTTTGAGGCAGCCCAACACAATTGTATGGGCCGATGGGCTGTGCTGGGCTTGGGGTTTCAGGTCAACGAGTCAGGACAGCACGACCCATATATATTTATATAATATATAAAATTGGGTAAAATGCAAAAACCTCTCGTGAAGTTTATAACAATCATAAGACCTTTTCCTATAGTTCCACTTTAACAAAAACCTCCCCTCTATTTTCGAAAAAATCAACAAATACCTCCCTTTTGTCAATAACAAAGACAGAAAATGTTAAACCTATGATTTTTTTTTCTCAAAATACCTATTTTACCTTTATTAATGTACACCTATTTTTACTATAACCTTTTACTCTTTGCTCTCTCTTCTTATCCCAATTTCACCTTTTCTATCTAAAGAGGAGCAACTAAAGACAAACTAAACCAGAAGGGGTGCTGCCCAAATCAAAGATTTAAGTTGTAGCGAAGAGAATTTCGCATGATTCAACCCAATGAATGAGAGAATTCAATCGCAATCACCGACAGGCTTCACCACCCAAACTTGGTGTGACTACTGGGCTACTGCTAGCATAAAGGTGAGCTCCTCTTGGTTTATGATTACATGTCCAATAGCAGCCTCAACAATTTCATCTTTTATTAACCCAAGTTAACACTAAATTGGGCACAGAGGTTTAAGATCGCCAAGGATGTGTGTTATGCACTATTGTATCTACACGAACAGTGGGTGCGGGTGGTCATCCACAGAGATATTAAGGCCAACAATGCGTTATTAGACAATGAAATGAATGGAAAGTTAGGAAATTTTGGCTCGGTCAAGCTCAATGAGCAAGGAGTTGATCCTCAAATCTCCTAAGTCCAATATGGTAGGCACTCTAGGCTATATCGCATCGGTGCTTGCCAGAACCGACAAAGCTAGCGCAAGCATTGACTTATTTGCATTTGGCACTGATGATGCACAATTTGCTCATTCCCTCGTATCAGTGACTGGGCCCAAACTAGGCTCTGATCTGGCAGTGCCGAGCTATACTACTAAGTTGGTAGTTGTACTTCCGAGCCAGAAGAGCTGTAAAGAAGGAAATATTAGAGTGCTTGGTAGGTTTTACCCAAAAGAATACTCTGATGTGTGAGAGAGTTAAGAGCTTTTGTGTGCATACCTTTTGGAGTGATTTTGGGGTTTCTTTCTGCTTCTCCATTATTTTTGCAAATTAAAGGTGCAACTTGGGTTAACTTGAGTTGCATGTATTACAGCTGCTCCAAAATGCTCACAAATAAAGGGTGGTGACGAGAGTTTTTATCATCTACCAACAAAATAGGTTCCAACACTCTCCAACAGGATCTTACACCCCACATTGATGGCCCAACTTGATGGTGAGATGTATGATGCAGATCATGTTGGAACAGTGCTGTAATGTGTTTTGTTGCCAGGAGATACCAACTCTCGTTATGGTGAGTATGTCATCACCTTCAAATTGGACATCAACAACGTTCAATTCAGTTAAAAAAAAACATATGCCATAGCAAAACAAGCCGGTAAGAGAAAACCGAAAGAAGGGACATATGCATGCCATAGCAGAATATCTCCTTACTAATATTTTTTGATTCATGCAATGCTGCTGCAAGCAGTGTCACTGTCAGGACGGTGTTAGGATTGAATCTAGATTCACCTGATGGTATATGCAATTTCCATGGTGGTTTATTAACACAGCTCTCGCATACGAGGTTGCAGAATCCAACCACACCATCAAAATTGGTTTACAACTTTACATGGTTCCAACAAGAAGCTTAATCCAACTAGAATCACCATTCATTTACAAATTTCCTTGTCCGTGGTAAGGAAATTAAGCAATTTGGAATGTAAGATAAAGTCCATATACGCATGAGTAATCAAAATAATGGCCAACGATGATAAAGTACAATGCTATTATACACAAGCATTCCTGATTTGCAATTTAGGCTGTGTTTGATTGCATGCAAATAAGTTTGTACTAATACAAAACCATTTGAGTGTAAATTCTGACTTATTGTTTGTTTCAAATTTTAGCTTATTCTTACCTGTTTTCCAGTTAGAAAATCAAACTAGTTTTGACTATTTACCAAAATATATAATTTGCAACTTGGAATTTTTAAGGCTGAATCCAACAAATTTCACATGACCAATGCAAAAAGTACCATTTTCTATAAAAAAACAGTTGTAAAAAGAAATTTATTTTTATAATTTTAAATTTAGTACAAAAACGCATTCCTAATAAACACCCATGAAACTGAACCCAGATATATTCATTTTGGTTCTGCATTTACATTATTACCAAAGCAGATTGTGGGGAAAGGGGAAATAATTGAATTGCATATTAAAGGTTTATGGGATGGATGATCGTCTGGACGTGAAGCCGAAGCAGGTATCGGCACTCGTATGTAGTACAAACTACAAAAGGAGGAGAATAATAATAAAATCTCGTTTGGAGTGAAGTCAGTGATAGCGAGCATTGAGCAAGGCTTTCTGTTTTTACTAAACCAGTAGGCCGCGGAATAACTATTGCTGCTTCGAGCCCCAAGTATGGCTGCAATGGCGAAATTGAACACACTCAACCCCCTAGACTCTCATCTTAGGGAATCTCCTCTCATCGAGCCGAGGCTGGTCCATTCCCAACTGCGAAGCTCCCAGGTTTCACACTTAAATGTGAGGATAAAGTACGCAAGACGCACATCCATTATTCGTCCAGTAGTAAGAGCGCAGAGCCCTTCAGGTGCATTTTGTTTTTTGTTTTTTTTTTTTTTTTCATTTCAATTCTCAAAATTATCTTGCTGGGTTTTAATTTTCGTGATGACAAATGAAGTTAACATTCTCCTTTTCATGATTTTCTGATGTGTTGCTCACAGATCTTACACCGGACTCGAAATTCTACAAAGTTGAAGCGATTTTAAGGTGAAATTACCTATTTTTGCGCTTTTAAACCTCTTTTTTTTTGTCACTGTTTATGTGGTAGGCCTGATTATATTCACCTTGTCCGTGTGATCAATGGAGCTTTGCTGTTTTATCAAGTAGTTAGCATTTGGGTTACTATTTCCTCACTCACGTGTATGTATTGATTATGCTGTTAATGTTCTGTTGGTGAATTTGGAACAATCAAGACCGTGGCGGATTCCACAAGTCTCATCGGTAAGTTCAGATGCCGGTAACCATCTCAGAATTCCTTTTTGGTCCTTTTTTTTGTGAATTGTAGATCGAAAGAAGTTTCTATCTATAGGTGTTGAAAGCCCTTAGCTTAGCCAATGTATAAGTCCCTAACATGGGCAGTTTCAAACCTGGCTTTTCATGAATATTAAATTCCATTTACTAAATTTTGGTGCACTGAAAAGTTCTCCCAATATTGGTGCTTCTCCATATCAAAATTGAATAGTCTCGTTGCAGTTTGCAAGTACTACCATGTGGCTTAACCTCGATCACCTCAAGTGGAGCTTTAATCATAAAAGAGAATACTTAAGCATAGGGAACTATTACAGTAAGTACTAGCCATAGCAAATTAGTCTTTTTGTCCGTTAGTAGTTAGTATAACATTTTATAATCAGTCCTAGTTGTTTTCACCGTGGACTCCTAGCAGTTGGTTAGTTCTCCGAAGGTCCGGAGATGGCGATGGGAAAGAGAGAGAAAGGATGTGGGGAAGAGGGAGGAAGAGGAGAGAAGGGAGAATCCCCCTCTGTTAGAAATCCTAGGTCCAAGTTATTGTGTTGTCTCCCCTGAGGAAGAATTGCTCTCCCCCTTTTATAGAGAGAAAGTTAAGGTTCTCAAGGAAGAAATTATTTCCTGTTAGGAAAGGGGATATTTTCTGCTAGGAAAGGAGATCTTTTCTTTTGTTTGACTATTAAGGGATCATTGTTAGAGAATCCTATCCCTTCCGGATTCTCTTTGTATGTGACCTATTATACCGACGTGGCGTGGGTGACGTCATTATTTGGCGGGCATACTTTCATTAAACCCGCATGCATAATTTAAAGATGCATGTGTAACCAGCATTTATTCCCGATTTACTGTGGTTTCGCAGTTCTGTAATGGTGCCAGGTTCATCGCAAATCCGCGCATGTTCAGGGTTCATCGCAAATCCGCGCGCGTCTTATAGGTCATCGTAGATTCGCACGTGTCTAAGCTTTATCGCAGATTCGCGCTAGTCGAAGTTCATTGCGACCTGTCCCGGGTATGAGTTTGCGATGAACTCCGAACTCATCACAAACGTGCGATGGGTTTAGGCGTCCGTGTAGTGTTGGTTTAACACCTTCTGTAGTCTGATGGTCTTATTGACCACTATGTACCTACACTAGTAAGTTAGTTATTAGTAGACTTGCAAAGCTATTAGAGTCAATCAGTACTAAGATTACTGGTCTAAAAGGGATAGAATTGGCTGTATTATGTTTGTGCAAGTGTGTCCAGCTTTACATGGTCTTTCACCTTTTGGTATGGCAATGGTAGTAACTAGCTAAAAATGCCAATCTAAAAAGTTTCAAGAACAATCTATTGTTATAACTGTAGAGTTGCATTGGTAGTTGTTGCTACTCACTGTAAGAACTAGTACTTTACTAGGTACTTTCTATTTTGAAAAATAAGCACTTCATTAGATCTATGAGATAGACATTTGACCAAACATATTTTTCGTTGGCAGGGATGGTGCTAATGACGCTTGGCCTAGGAGATTTATATTATGTAGCTAAGTATAAATAAGTAAAAGACAAATAAAGGTAAAGATGAATAGGTAAGGTGTGAAGAACCTAGTGGTACTAGTCAGCTCTAGGTAGGAGATTGAGAATTGGTTAAGGTTTAGAACCCTTGTGGTGAAATACTTTCTGACATATCCACTGTTTTCTTAAAAATGGTTGATCTTAAATTGTGGCCATGCCAATGAAGAAAAGGACACTCTCTTTCTTGAGGTGGAAATACATCCATAAGGGATTTTTTTTTTTTTTGCTTTTTTAGGTACATCATAATCTATGGATGAAATTCAATATTCATTAAAATCTAGGTTTGGAAATGATCCGTGTTATAGATCATGGATGTTGCTGGATCAAAGGCCTCTGATTGCTATGAGCATAAACTTCTTTCAGTCTTTATTTGGCAGTGGGAGATGAGGCCAAACTCAGAAGTGACAAGAAAGAGCTTTGATTAGCCATGGACATTGCTAAAAGACTAAAGAGAATTGAGAAAGAAATACATCAAGTGGAAACAAAAAGCTCTAAGAAGAGCAAATGCTAGGTAATTTTAGGAGCAGGTGCATATTGTTGATCTCATCATTGTATGAAATTTTATACTTTTTCTCTAGAAAAATATGCTTTCTAAAAAATAGGAAGGCGATGCTGCTCGAAGAACATCAAGAGTTCATTGTGTGGGTTGTCCCCTTTAGAGACTGGGAAAATTAGAAGAAAAGTAACTACAGTCTCAATCACAGTAACGAGCTCAAGTATTCTTTGTCTGACATGTCTGAGTGACTTAAGATCTTGTAATAGCTTAAGTCCAATTCCTTGGAACCTCATAATTAATGGCAGTACCACAGAACATCAAAATGAATTGGAAATTATTTGAAAGCAGAACCAGTGGCAGCACTACGAGGATTGGAGTTTGCTAAATCGGTAGGTTGTGTAACTAGGAGGGGGATTGCCAAGTTGTAATGCGTTTGTTGAGATTGGTGAAAGAGATATAATGGACTCTGCATTTCTTGGTCAGACATGCAATAGAATTGTAAAATAGCTCGAATTGTTCATTCAAGTCAGTCCTAAAATCTGCAAATAGTCTGGCCAATGCTGGGGAAGGTATCTCAAGATAAAGTTTATGCTAGGGAAAACCAGGGTTAGTTGAAATCTTGTAAAGTGAAACAGTTTTTATTGTTTAAGGGTGTGTCCAGCCTTGTGCTTGTTTACTGTATGGAGACCATACTGTAAGTCTGTACTAATGGATCTCATCTAAGGGTGCAACTTGGGCTGGCTTAACCTAACCCAACCTGAGCTTTTGCAAGGATTGAGCTTGAGATTTTGGGCTCCAGGATGGGCTTGGGCCAAAAAGTTCAAGCCTGACCTCAACTTGGGTAAGCCAAGGCCAATCCAAGCTTGGCCTGGCCCAACTGAGCCTGACTGACATTGTATGATATGTATATATGTATGTATATATTTTTTTTTGATAATTTATATATGTATGTATATTACATATATATATTTTTAAAGCTCATTAACCAATGTTTGATCCCAGATATTTGGGGTCTTGGGAGGGGCAGACTGGATACAGATCTGACCTTTGGCATTTCTGCACAAAGTGTCCACTCTCAGTTTCAAACCCAAGCTCATGTATGTTATATATTTATAAATTATAATATAATCTAAACTCAAACCACTGCACGAACATGTACAAACTACAAATATACACATATTATGTATTTTCTTTACAGAGGTGAGAACCGTTGAACAGCTACAGATGAGACTCAGTGATTACCTTCAATCTTGGCTTTGACACCATTACAACTTGAGCTAATTAATCCTTTGTGAGAAGCCTGATTCAGTGGACTGAGAGAGAAAGGGAGGATGATATAAAGGGAATGTAATCGAATGAACATCCCCAATTCTACACTCCCAAAAGATGTATTTTATTAAAGAGGGCATATAATATGTAAATTGCAGAATTTCCCTTGAGCAATAATACAACTACATGATACAATGCTACAGCCTGTTACATTACAATGGAGAAAAGAACAAAAAGAGTTAAACATATACCAACATTTATGTATCAATCTGTCTATGAGAACATCTTTTTGTAATTATACATAATATAAATATAAATATATAATATGTGTATATGCATACATATGCATTTATTAATGTGTAAATGTGTTAAAAAATCCTTTAAAACCTGACCAACCTGCCTGAGCCCAAGCCTGGCCTAAGTTGTGTTGGGTTAAGATCAGGTTGGGCAGTTGACCCTCAATCTGACCCTACCTGCCCATGTTGCACCCCTAATTTCATCATTTTATTAGTGAATGTGGTTTCTTATCATAAAAAAGCCCAGTTCCTTGCATAAAAAGGGCAATTGCCCAATGTTGTCCCAGCTATTCGAGGTGTTGGAGGGGTGTTCTGGATATGGAATTGGCTTTGGCATTTTCTTTAATGAAGTGACTGTTCTCAGACTTGAATCCAAACCTAGTTCCTTGCATCTTCTCCATTCATTGTTGTGCGGATCAAGAAAAGTGCAATAATGTAATCTAAATCAAGTAACTGAATTTGGTAATCGGAGCAACATTTCCTAGGAGTTGATGCTCTATTTATTCATTAAAATGTATTGTTTCATTTAGGTTTTTGACAAAACATGGGGAATGATAAAGACTTACCTGTAATCCATTACAAAATAATTATTAGAATTTCTATATGATAAAGTTCAGACCAGTGATGTTCTTAGGTTCGAAATAGTAAATAGAAATAAATACTGGAGAAAGATTAGGAGAAAGAGAAGAGAAGAGAAGAGGAGGAGAGAAACAAAATCTGGTTCGAACTAGAGTGATCTCTCTCTAGTCAACCAGTTCTATTTATAGCTTTCTAGAACATTGCACAAAGTCTATTGTGTCCTCACTTAAGTGTGGGCCACATCATTTAACTTATGATCTACTTGTAACTACATCAGCATATAAAACAATGTAAATTGACTATACTACCCCTCAACAGCCGACTCTAATACTCCCCCTCAAGTTGGAGAGTATATGTCATATAGTCCCAACTTGTTACATATGTAATCCACTCTTCCCCGACTCAACCCTTTAGTAAACAAGTCTGCCCATTGATTTCCTGTATTCACATATGTCGTGATTATCACTCCACTAAGCGCCTTCTCTCTTACAAAGTGAAAATCAACTTCTATATGCTTCGTTCTTTCATGAAACACAGGATTGGAAGAAATATGAATTGCAGCTTGGTTATCACAATACAACTTCATAGGTGTGTTAATCGAGTACCCCATTTCCTCTAAGAGATGCTTCAGCCATACCAGTTCACATGTTGTGTGTGGCATGGCTCTATATTTAGCTTTAGCATTGCTTCTTGCTACTGCTGCCTACTTCTTATTCTTCCATGTCACCAAATTGCCCCCAAGAAACGTGCAATACCTTGTAGTGGACCTTCTATTACAAGGCTCCCTCC